TGTGACAATATTTGAGATTGAGAGGATTTAAATCCATTTCAAGTGCATGTTGTTAGTGTAGGAGTTTTTGTAAACACACTATAACTAAGTTCGAGTTGTATTCTACACATGGTATGAAATTCCATGCAAGTAATGTTTGCTATATATTTGGCCCGTTTTGAGTATGAAATTCCATTTTGGGTTCGGCTACATCTATACTAACATCGGCCTCAATCTCATCATGCTCAACTTTATTATGGTATCCTAAACATACCTTATTTTAGAAAATTATGATTAGGCATCAATGATGAATAAAGAAGGCTTAATACAGAGATTAGATGGTTCGGACTTGATAACCTATTCTATTGAGAATGACGATGGTGATCGGAGAATCTTATTACTCTAGAGATGTAGTATATTGAGACGTGTGTGATGTTTCCCATGTGTAGGTGAGACTTATAATTTATAGAGGAGTACAGTCTTCATGGTGCTCCAGAACGGACTTTGATGGAGGTGTCATCACTGGGAGCCCTGATCAAGGAGTCACCCTTGTGACGGGAATGAGTGACTTTGTGATGTTTGCGTAACAGAAGAGGTGGTTGAAATTTGCGATGCGTACCCTGATTCTCTTCCTAATATAAAGATCTCACGTGCATCATTAGTAGACTGAGTTTTCCAAGACGATAAGATTGGTCCTTGTTGGCTTGTATTTTTTATCTGGGCCGAGTTGCACCTATGACCTGAGTCTAATCTGTAATTTTAAATTGGACCTTTAAGCTAAACCTAGTCTATAATTCTAGACTGGGGTTGGTCTGAGTCGGGCTCATCAACTTATTTGGGAGAAAATACAGTGAAAAGAAAATTTTGTAGATAAGTAGTATTAGGTGAAAATATATTGTATCTTGGTATGCAATGACTATTTTTTTTAATTTTCCTTTACTGAAATAGCATTTTTCATAATTCATGGACTGTACTATTTGGCATTTCCTTCGTTCATAGGATTTGGTTTTATTACATCAGTCCTTTCTTATTTTAGAATTCTATATCTGCAGTGTAAGAATTCCAGTGGATTTGGTCCTTTGGAGCTGTCGAGACGAACCGTTGGTATCCACCACCATTGAAGCAGTCCGTGGAAACGAAAAGGAACAGTGTTGGGTTCCTTTTTTTTTTTTTTTTTTTTTTGTTTCCTGATAAAAAAAAGGGTGTGGAGGGTTAAAAGAGAGTCCTTACAAACCACACCAATAAGGCTTTACTGGTAAGATTATAAGACCTCTGATTGTATTCGTTACTCCTCTCGAGAACAAATCTAACTAGGTGAGTATAGCGTTTAACCACTTAATCTCAATATAAACTCCAAAATTAGAACCTTTAACTTGAGGATAAGAAATTTGATTAGTACTCCACCGGTGGTTGGGTTCCTTGAATCTTCTGAAGAAGTTTATTTTACTCCAATCTTGCTGGTCCCACATTAAAAAACAAAAAAACAAGGCACGTGCCTTTTGTTCCAAAGTCATCCATTTTGACATATTTCTACAAAAGTTTTGTCCACTTTAAATCTTTTGATGCATTTTATACCCTCTTTGTTTATCGTATTTGTCATACAACATGGCCTATGACAGAGAACAGTAAAATGCCTTTTCTTCTTCAACAATGTCATACTGTGTAGGCACATTGTTACAATCACAGTATTCGACCGACAACAATATTATTTTGCAACGCTACATTATACCATAACATTGTCATTTATTAAAAGTAATATATATAGATGCTATGTTGTAATGTCACATTATGTGATACATACCATTTAGATTATGTATGAATTTGTAAATATAATTTCACATATTTTATTAGTGATTAAAGTATTAATGATAGTGGTTACACTACATATCACATTATTGGCAATTTGAATTAAAAAAGAAAGAAGATCGATTTTCAATGGTTTTTTAACGTCTGTTCTCACTTCACAGGCGAACGATTCAACCTCTTCAAAATTTCGGATGCTTGTGTTTTTTTTTTTTTAAAGTTGAGAACGGAAAGGTTTTGTGATAACTTTTGTTTAAATTTGAAAACCCATAATTTGAGGGATATAGTATTTGTCGGATTTAACGGGATTGTTGCATTCTAACGATTTCCTAATCCACTCTTTGCGCTGGTTAGTGTTTCCTTGTAGGTATTTTTATCAATCAAGAAAATAAAGAACTTAAGTACAAAAGGTTTTTAATGAAGAACTTTTACATAATTAAATGTTATAATGTGTACCGCCCTACAAAATCCCAATTTATTTCTTATAAGTCTGGCTATTTAGAAAGGGTAATTTTCAACCTTGGTATCATTCTTGTGGCCTAATTTCACTAGAGTTCATTGGAAGTCGGTCATTTTTTGAAGATTTATTTAAACTTAAGTACACTTAAAAAACTTGTCTGGAGATAAATCTATTTTGATCTCCATTTGTCCAAAATATCCTCAATAATTATATTTAATCAAAACTTGTTTAAAAAAATTAACAACTCCTAAATTGAGAATTGTATTAGTATTAACAACTCATAACTTGAAAATTCTGCTAGCATTAAAATTATGTTTCCATTATATATATATATATATATATAGATGTAGCTATGATACAAAAATAATTTTAATGCTAGCACAATTTTTAAGTTAGGTGTTGTTATATTTGAAAACATTGAAACTAAAAATAATAGACAATATTTATGGTAAGGGTTATTATAAAATATATTTCAAAAAGAATTTGAAATGTTTTAAAATGTGTACTTATTGATAACTATTTGATGAAAAAAAAGATTTAATGAAGCATAAATTTGAAGGTAGTACTTAAAGCTAAATAAGTTCTAAAAAAAGTACTCACAACCAATTATCTGATTTCACTAAGCCTAAATATTAGTGAAGATTGAGGCTGAGTCCTCCTGGATGGATTTATAATAAGTTGAGTCCGTCAAGGAAACTTATTTGGTGATAAATTCATTTTTTATCTTACTAATAAGTACTTAAATCCATTATTTTTTAAAATCTGACATATACCATTTCTTAAAAGAAGATTAAATTAATTTTCTATCTTGGAAATTGTTTTTTCTTAATTCAAGGTCAATTAAAATATGCCAATAAAATATCTATCATAAATTTAAAATTTAAATTTAAAGCTCTCTTTCTCTCTCTCTCTCTCTCTGTGGCCAAATAGTGGCGATGTCATTGTCATCTCCGTTCGTCTCTTTCCTCTATGGCTTATTCGCTATCTTCTCTTTCCTCCATCCCCCACTATACCATCTGCGTCAATTTCTAACGGCGAAACTGTTTTATTATTGTCAGACTTTTCTTCAAAAAAACCCAATTTGCCATATACTGCGTCCACCACCACCATCACGCATCACGATCGATCAAGAGAACTGCCTTTTCTTTGGACCTATCTAGAAATTTTTCACAGTCTCAATCTCACTTTCCTCCCTCTAACAATTTTGAAATTCCGAGCATCTATCACTTCATTGCTCAAGTAGTAGTCATCGCCTCCGATATGCAATATGGCGACGTCGTCGTCTTGTTTACTATTTTTTTTTGTTACTATTTTCTCGTCTATCCACAGTCATACCCATTATATGTTACATGTTTTTTAAAAATAGTATTATTTTTGGTTTGAATGTTTCATGTTACTATTTTTTTTACTGTGTTACTATTCATGTTACTGTTTTTTGTTGAGTATGATACTAGTCATGTTACTATTATTTTGAGCATGTTACTGTTTTTTTTGAACATGTTACTACTATTATTTTTCTAAATATTAATATTAAATGTTACTATTTTTTTTGTTTTTGAATATTACTATTTTTTGTGTTTGAATGATATTATTTTTTCCGTTTATCTATATATATAAATAGTCTTATTCTATATATGAATATAGATAGATATGAGAGAGATAATTATTTTTAAGAATGTTACTATTTTTGTTAAGTATGTTACTATTGTTTTTTAAAAAAAATATTAATATTGAATTTTACTATTGTTAGTTTTTAAAAATATTAATATTGATGTTACTGTTTTTTTATATTTAAATGTAACTATTTTTTTTGTGTTTAAATAATATAATTTTTTGTGTCTAAATGAAAACTTGTTTTTTGTATTTGAATGTTATTATTATTTTTTATTTTTAAAGTGTGCATATAAATATATATGAGAGAGAAAAAATTTTAATATTAATCAAACTCCTAAAATTTTGGAACTTTCAAATTTTAATTTTACTTCACTTCTAAAGAAAAGAGATAGTTTGATAAAATTGACAAAAAATAGATTTTATAATAAATAAGTTTTCTTGACGAATTTAAATCCAAACAAATTTATTTAGGAGGATCCCCCTCCGAATTTTCCAATTTTATGCCCCTTCACGAGGTGCCTAGTCTTTTCAGCCCCAACACCGTCTTCCTCCATGTTTAATCTTTGAAAGGGCAATTTATATCAAGATGAAGTTAGCCCAAAACTTTAAGAATCATACTTTATACTGGGTCAGCTATTGACCCTACTATGCTTTCAACCTGTTATTTTGGAGCACTGGAAAAACAGCAAGCAATGAAAGTGTACACTTACCAATAGGGGTGACAATATTACCCTATTACACTTTAATTCGTTTAATCCGTTCATAAATAAATGGGTTGGATACTTATATTAATTAATTAATAAAAATTTTAAATGGATTGAGTAATATAATTTATTTTAATTAAACGAGTTAAGATGAATTACAAATGGATATCCATTGAGTTGAATATTTATCTTTCTATTAAATAATACAAATAATAAAATCATATAAATATATTAATATACCAAAAAATACATATACACTAATACACTAAAAAATACACACATACAGTAATACACCCTCACACTAGCACACCAAAAACATACACACTAATACACCCCCAGCTCATGACCTACAAACCGACCTGTGACCCCATGACCCAATTGTGACCCATGACCGACCTATGACCCACAGTCGATCGGACTCATTATGTTTGTGTATTTAGTTTTTTTATTAAATGTGTTTTTGTTTTTTTGTGTGTTAATATATGTGTGTATTTCTGATGTATTGCACCAACCAAAAAGAACATCATAATGTGGTAGATATGTTATTTCCTCCAAGAACTCGTTTACCAAGTACCTTGCAAGTTAAATCTCTTCTACCTTTTTACTCTATAGACTATAAGCCCCCTCCGAAGTTACCATGTAAGTTTGTACATATAATTTGTTTCTACTACTAATCAACTTCTTCCAATTCTCAATGAAGAATCATGACCTTTGCCTGCAAAGAGCTTAGCAATCTCCAGCTGGGTGTTAGCAATGATCTCTGTCCTCTTAAGATCCATTTCCCTTCTCTTGGCCTCAGCCTCGGTCCTCATTTTCTCTATCTCCCTCATCGTCTCCATTCGTGCTTGCTCCGACCTCACCATTCCTTCTGCTAGACACCGGATGCTTTCGGCTACGCCCCAATCTTCCTTTCTTCGCCGCTTCTTTTTCTCCATTCTTTTGTTCAAATTTTTCAGGTTCAAATTCTTTTCGCTATAGAGTGCCGGTGTGCTACTATCCGTTTCGATATCATTCTTGTCGGATACATGATCAGACAATTTGGTACCGCCTCCATCTTCCTGTTAAGATGAAAATTTAGTAGTCGATTTAGATCATTTGCTAGGACAATAATGTTCATTATAATTTGACTAGGATATCTAAGGCAATTTTGTTAAAAAAGGATGTCCTCCAATGGCTAATTGATTGATTTCCAGTCCAAAAGTCTACATGCCTTTATGTATATGGTGAAAAGATGAAGGTGAAATCATAGGTTTAATCCATGTGGGTGCTCATCTTTTCAGCCTTCCAGCCTGTGCCAAAAGCTGGTAAAAACTTCTCTTCTTGTAATGACTTGATCAATCTCCATATCAAGATGGTTCGAATATCGTATCCCCACCCCAACCCCCACCTCCACCCCCACCCCCAAACCAAAAAACACACCTCATAAGGGTGGGGTGCGTAACTATTTTAACATATAAATATTCATGTTTAATAGTATCTATCAACTTAAACTTTTGAGCAATGCTATTGAGACATAATTTATGAACATAATTTGAGGACATAATGAGTTGTTACCAATGATATAAAAATGAATTCATTAATGCTACAACGAGACCCATAATTAAATATATTTCACTATCATTTCATTGGTGACAACTCATTATGTCCCCAAAATTATGTCCTTGAATTATGTCTTAATAGCATTAGTGTAAACTTTTAAATTAAACGATGATTTAATAATAATCCCCACTCTCTCCACAAATAAAAGAAAGAAAAGGAATGACTTACAGAAAATCTTTTTTAAGATCTATTAGTATGGGAAATTAAAGGATTGGAATAGGAGAATTAAAGATTTCTGTCACTTTCAGTTTAGTTACAATCAATTAGCTACAAACTATTAGGGTTCACTAGGTTCTTGTGAGACCCATGCTAAAAAATTTAAACATGAATGATTGAGTTTGATGGGAATTCAAAAACTTATGACCCCTCGATTGAATTGGGCAAATGCCTACGACAAGATCCGTTGAATTTAAAAAAAAAAAAAAGTCGTTTGGATTTAGGGAAAAATTTATTATTGGTTTTCAAAATATGCGTTTAGTATCTATTTGGTTCTCAATTTTTTAATTGTGTTTATTTAATCTCTAAAATTACTAATTTGTATCTCCGTGGTCTAATCCAAACATCCGTAAAAAAATCATTGACGATCTTGGTTAAGCGCTAATCACGTGGTTTTTTTATTTTGTGTCTATTTAATCCCTAAAATTCTTAATTTGTGTCTATTTGATCCCTTTTTCAATTTGTGTTTATTTGGTGGTCCCATATGATTGGCGCGTGACCAGAGTTGTTAACGGTTTGTTGATGGACGTTTGTAATTAGACCACGTAGATATAAATAAAGAATCTTAAGAACCAAATATACATTACACGCATACCTTAAAGACCAAAAATATAATTTACCCTTGGATTTATCCATGATTTGTTTAGTTTATTCCTTATATCAAAAATCCTATTACTGAAATTCATGTAATCCTAATTTGACTACCAAACATGCCCTCCCAAAATAATACATTGTAAGAAGATTGAAGTCATGATGATGCATTGCATATGACTATGTTGCAACAAGTTTCATCTCTCACCATATGACCTAGTAAAAAATGAAATGATTTAGCAGAAAGATGTGATTGTTTATTCCACTAACCTTGGGCACCCGATCAACGCCTTTGGAGCCATTAGAGTTTTGTGCAACTCCAACCAGCAATAACGGAGCCAGAGGTGGAGGTTGAGGTGGTGGTGGTGGCGGTGGCTGAGGCTGTGGTGGTAATTGTGCTGGCAGAACTGATGGTTCAAGAACAATCAAAGGAGGGTTGGCATAAGGTGGTGCTGTTGGTGGGGGAGGAGGTGGGAGTGAAGGTGGAGGCGGAGGTGGAGGATGAGCACTTCCACGGACTAATAGATCGAGTCTCGGAAAAAGAGGCCACGACGAGGGCTCAGATGTGGCAGACTCCGATCGATACCTTTTCTTCATTGACTCGATCTTGTTCTTGCACTGTGTTTGGGTCTTGGGCGACTTACTTGAACTTGCTCGACCAGAGACATACGTTGCTACATCTTCCCAATCTCGACCTTTAAGTTTGGCTCGATTTCGAAGTATCCATTTGGCTTCATAAGCTTCAAGGAGGCTTGAAACTGCTCCTTCGCTCCATTCATCTCTTTTTAACCTATCGTTGTTACCACTGCCGCCGCCGCCACCACCACCACCACAGCCGCCGCCGCCGCCGCCATCATCACCACCTCCTAGAAGTTTCTTAGGAGACTCTTTCTTCTTGTTATTATTATTGTTATTGTTAGGAAGGAGAGACGAATTTTCTTGGTGGGCTTCCTTACCCATCTCTCCCCCCTGAAATTTTACCTAAGGCTTAGCTGCTAACATGATATGTGACCTCAACAAGTTAAAAGCAAGTGGAAATGCATGTAGGGCAGAGATGGAGAGAGCCACTAGCATTTAGATAGAGAAAAAGACTTATGCTAGTGGGCTATTAGGAGGGAGGGAGAGAGAGAGAGAGAGAGAGAGAGAGGATCAACCACTAGCATTAGGGAAAGAGAATGGGAAGGGGCTAGTGGAAGTGGCCAACCAAAGAATCCCTCAATTTTGTCAAATGAATTAATGATAGTAATCTAACTCTTTCTTCACTCTTTTTTGGATGAAAATGATTATGGCATCGGATTTAATACTACACAAAAAGTTACGACTTAAAAAGGGTTAACTACAATTGTATTGTGACCAAGTTGCAATTTAAGAGTTAGCTAAGACTTGATAAAATTAAAATTATAATTTATTATAAAACTTGTGATCGATCATAGAAGACCTTAATATATTATAGTCTCACTTAATTGAATCATTATCTTAACCAATTGAAGTATAAATTTTAATAAAATATTAAAAAATAAAATTTTAATATTATATTCTTTCTCTTTTCTCTTTTGGTGGTGTTGTCTTTAAGTGGGTAAGTGTCGGTTTTTAGGTTGTAGAGTTGTGGTTTATGTATTTTGGCAGTTAGCGTTGATAGGAAGCCAAGGATGATATCCACCGAAAGGGTTGTGGTTAGTCACGTGGCAATGTCACCCACTATATTCTGTCACCACCATCACCATCTTCTTCACCCACTAAGCCAATGCGCTTTCGTCACCACCACTTGTTAGCTGCTCTTTTTCTCCCTCTTTGTACGGTAAAAAGTCTTGTTTCTTAAACAATGTGGTTTTAGATCGTTTGACATCTAAAACGACGTTGTTTTGTGTTTACAAAAATATGATTATGGCGAATCGATGACATTTTGGAGGAAATAACGCTCCTGGTGTAGAACAGAGAACTCCACCTCTTTTCTAGCTTTGCCTTTTGCCTTTTGCCTTTTGCCATTCTTGTCACAGTCTCTATAGCACATGTCAGCCCTTAGGTTTTTTGATTTGAAAAATCATTTTGAGGAATTTTGCTTTAAATTATTTACAACATATGCCGTGACATTTTTGGAGGGAAATCTTTTATTAGCGAAAAATATTTTTTGAACTTGATTAATTATAACTATAGAATAGATAGTGTGTTTTAATAAATAATGAGACCTACAATTAAATCAATGATATTGATTGATCAAGTTTATATTTTAATCCTATGTAATATTGCTATTTATTAGTTTACCCAGTTGTGAGAATAGAGGGTGAGCCACACGCACTGTCAACTTGGACGGAATCATTGACATCGTAATTTAGTCTACTAAGCATGTGAGAGTTTTGTGAAAATTTCTAAAACATAAAGAGGTAAATTACATTTGAGAAAAATAAAATCAAGAGACTTTATGGTACAAAATATTAAATTTTCTATCCATATATCTATATAATAAAATAGCTTACAATTCAAATCTCAAAAGATAAATAAAATGACTTTTGCTATTCACTGTTCAGATCGCTTTAAATTTTATTTTAAAATTAATCTAACGGCTAATGTTAAAACTTCAAATTTAATAAGAAAAAATAGGCTCATAAAGGTGTGTTTGGAGTAATTTTTTAAAAGTGCTTTTAGAAATTATTTTTTATAAATACTTAAAAAAAAATATTGTTTTGAATCGCTCTACCACTACCACTACCTCTACCATCACCACCACCACCACCACAACTGCCATCCCATACCACTGCCACTGCCACCGCGACTGTCATCTCCACCTCCACCTCCACCTCCACCTCCACCGCCGCAGCTGTCACCATCGTCGTCGCTGCCATTATCACTATTGCCATCGCCACCACCACCATCGCTGTTGCTACCGCCACCCCACCACCACCACAACTATTACTGTCTCTTACCACCACCCCTACCGCCCATTATCTCTCACTTCTACTACAAATTGATGTTTAAATTTCTTTATCTTTTTTCTATGTTTGTTATTTAATTTTAGATATAAATACAAATATATTTATTCTTTATCATTTTTTATTACACTGTGCCTTCAGGCATATACAATAACTATTATATATATAAAGTGGACCACCATTAGGAGATTTTGGAGTGATTGGTGCTTGCATATAATCTCTTCTATTTATTTGTGCGCATAAATTCTCGACAATGCCATCCCAAGTAATGATGTCAAAGGTGTAGAGATTATTTTTAGTGTGTCTTGTCTAATAGCAAGGGATTAATGTTTCACACAACAACAAAGAGAACTTGAGAATACATTCTTAATTCAACTCAACTGGGTCTTGCCTAATTATTGAGGATGGATACTTTATTGACTATTGGAGTTGTTGCAGGAGTTCTTCAATTGATCAGTTTTTATTCACTTCTCCATAAGTTAGGTTTTTTCAAAGATGGTATTTGGACTTGAGCTTATTGGTCTTTAATTGAGTTTTTGCTACTTCAATATTATGTGAGATAAAGGTTGTTCAAATTTTGCATGTATCTTTTTATGTGTGATCATAAAAAAAAGATTAATTGAAACCTTACATCTATTGTGATAGAAGTTTCAGGTTGATTGATAAACTCTCATCTACAAAATTCAAAAGTTAAAGGTGGTCATTGGATTTGAGCTTGCTGGTCTTCTTCATCTCTTGCGAATTCAATAGGATGTTGGGTAAACTGTGTTCAAATATCTCATTGTGTGTTTATCAGAAAAAGACTATTGGAATCGGGATAAAAGAGGTTGGCAATTACATGTTAAAAGTGATTTTATTTATTTATTTATAAACTCAGTAGGATTGCATATAGCCTAATGGGTTTTGAAAAAAAAAAATAAAAAAATTAATGAGCCCACTCTATCACTTCCATTATTAATGGCAAAGTGGGTTTGGAGAAATTCCAACATATTGAGTATGCCTAATATACAGACACCGTTTGCTAGTCTTGGCCAACTCACCCCTCTCCCTCCTTTGGTTCCATTTTTCAAGCCAAAAGACAACTTTTCCCCCCTTTCTCCTGACCTCTGGCGAGTCGAGCGAATAGGAAAAATTGGATGAGTCTACCTAAAGCAAGGATCCAAGTCAATTCGAGTATATTGTTCTTCTATTTAAATCAATGGTAGATTAGATAGATTGTGGGTGAAATACCTTTTTATATATATGTTACGCCCCAAAACACACTCTGGATGACATTATATTTTAAAATCATTCATATCATGAGAGCACTAATATAATCCATTAAGAAACAAGATTTCATTTGTCATCCTCGAATATTTACAATATTATCCAAAAGAATAAGCCCAAGTCATGGCTATTACATCTCAAAAATTAATTAAAGAAGCGCAGCGGAATAAATAAAAGAAGCTAGACTACATAATGTTCCAAAAGAATGTCCTAGTCTAGTACAAAAAGAAAGGAGGTCGCTCTATGCGTCCACCTCGGGATCCACACTCCCGTCCCGTGGAGTCTCCCAAGTAGCGGGCTCTTCGACCCTTACGTCCTCATCCTCAAGCGGATAATCTGAAAAATATTAGTGATAGGGGGTGAGCACGAAGCTCTGTAGAAAAATTTTCCCAAACCCATACAAGGTTTAGAAAAACATTTAAAACGCTCGGTCTCATTTTTAACATAACATAGATACATAATCTGAAATAAAGCAGTGATATTTAAAAAGGATCTCAAGTTTATTTAAAAACATTACTTAAATTAATAAACGAGCACCACATACAAATAATAACCATTAATTGTCATAACCAATTTTCAACAATTCTTTCTGTAGGTGGTATACTTTGTGGCAACCTCCACCCCTCTTTTAGGTCACCTTTGATTCTCAAGCATCCTTACCGGGAACCTCTTGAAAATTGATGAGCATCCTTACATGGAACCTCTCACCAATCACTACATTACTTTTCAAGCATCCTTACCGGGAACCTCTTGGGAAGGGATGAACATCCTTACAAGGAACCTCTCACTCATGTGCATCATAAACAACCCAACCAAGCATACAATTCCAACATTTATCTCAATTTACAAGCATCTATCCAAAATTTTTAAAATATATCATATAACAATTCCACAACCAACTAAGAAAATACATGAGATCACAATAACATCATTTTTCTACCCAACACAAAGCACTAAGGTTTCGAAATCCATAATAAAGAAAATATTTAGGAAGGAAATACATCACTCTCCAAAAATTAGGGTTTTAAAACTAGAAAGGAGATTTCATGGGTATTAAACCCTACTTTGTTTAAAACATGTAATCCTTGCAAAAAGCCTAAGAGAGGATGATTCCATAACATATATATACCATTGATAGCCAAAACATACATATATAAATACCCTAGCCTCAATGTAAGTAAATGAGAGAAAACCCTTACCTTGAATCCTTAGCTTGGGAGTGAAGAACAACAATATTTGATCTTGAATCACCCTTGAATCTCTTATTTTTTCCTTCCTTTCTTCTTCTCTAATGCCATCTAGGGTTTCAAGAGGTGTGGGGGTGTGAGGGGAGTGAAGGAAATGAGAGAAAATGAGATGAAAATGAGTTTAAAACATAGCAGCCCCGAAAAACACTGTTCACAGGCTGTTTTGGGTTTCTCCAAATTTACGATTTTACCACTAAGAATCTCCAATTTGATCAATATGACTACCCTAAGGTTTTTCGACGTTCCGGATTCATTTTTAATGTTATTTTAACCTAAAAACATTTATTTTTATGATTTATCTCAAAACCCAAGTCAACGTACACCCGAAACACTAAAGTTTCTATTTTACCCATCCGAATCGGCTATTAATGAAGTTTTGCGATGTTTGCAAATAAAATGTGATAAATGTGTTTTTTTTAAAGGCTTTTATACTTATTTGAAGCCTAAAAGTACTCATTATTCTTATATTTTGATTTAGGATGCAAATGGAGACATTAAATGCAAAACAAAGCTAATTGGACTATTTCGACATCATTTCGTTATCTGAGCATAACTCTCTCATCCAAGCTCTAATTGAGATGATTCAAGATGCTATGGAATGATATGAAAGAGCTCTAAAACTTTCATGTTTTGAGTTTTGAAAGATATTGACTGCATCAAGGTCTAAATTG